TATAATGAATGCGAAAATTAAAATATTTCGCATTTTATTCTTATTTGCTTTATGCGGGTATTTACTGTACACAAACATACATTCTTGTACATATTTCAGTTATGTCTGTTCTTTTTTTATTCCTGCATTTCGTTTATTTTTTATTATTCATATTCTCCTTCAAGAGTATAGGTACAATATATGTATGTGTGTTTATAAAAATGTTTTTCATTTGCTTAAGATCAAACTTTTTAAAAATCACAAAAAGGATTATAATAAATGTGAATATTATATGTGTGTATGGCTATATAAAAAGAAAATGTAAGCATTTCTGGTTTATTCAGTTTTCTCAGGTGGACAGGAACAAAAATTCACCTATGAATAATAAATTAACTAAATTTACAAGGTATGCACAAAAAATAAGGTAGTTGTGAAATTTAAAGTTTTCTTCGATAATTGTTACAGTGTAGTCTATTGAATTTAAAATGTTTTGTAGAGTTTACAATTTTTATCGCTAGATAGAGTATTTCTGACACCAGTTGTAGTGAATAGTTTTTCACGTATGATGCAAATAGAATTGTTAAAATTAAAAACAAATATCATTTTTAGTTTACGTAATGTTTCGAAAGACACCTGTATTTAATAAAGTTGAAATTTCGTTTTTGAAATGTTAACAAGGAGTAATGTTAACCCTCTAATTTTGGCATTTCATAATTTTTAAATTGAAGGCTTTTATATAGCTTTTGGAAAATAAATTAAAAATTTTACTCCCAATAGATTTGAGTGCCTATTTCATCATCAGAATTATTTGTAATGGAAATCATTTTAGTGTTACCGAGCAAACTTTAACGAAATTTTTAAAAGTTCCATGGATTTTAGAGAATAACGGTGCCACTCAAAAGCTGGGTACACGGTTGCTATTCCATAACACATTGTAAATAAGAAATTAACAGAAATTTACACAATAGGAACTTGTACACCTTGAATTTCCTTCCCTATATCTAACAGCATGTAGATTCAATAATAAAATGTAAAGGATATAACGTTAAATTTTGTGTTTTTTCATTTCCTGTTTTTATTTCATTTAGAATTCATAAAAAAAATTTTTTTTTTATTCGTATATAGAAACTGAAGTGATGTGCAGAAGTATAATTAAAAAAACAAAAAAAAAATAAAATGGAAACAGTAATGTGAAATGGAGAAATAAAAAAGAGAAATGAAAATTAAAAATAATGCAGTAAATAACGACTCTTCTGAAGGTTAATCAATATATTAATAATGACACATTTATTAATCTACATCGATGTGTAGATTGAAATTTTGTAAAAGAAGAAAAGAGAAAAAATCACAATGTTAATCTTATGAATTGTACAATAACCCTGCTATAGTCCTTATTAATATAGTAAAGAAACTTTTATATCGTTGATGGCATTCTACAATTGCATACGAAATTTTGTGCTACTTTTAAACACCATTCTAACAATATTTTGTTCCACTTAATAAATGTATGTATATTCATATGTGCATGCATGTATGTACGTATATTTAAGGTTTTTATTTTTAGTTTATATATCTTATACGGAAAGTAAAGTAATTATTCTATTTTCATCTATGTTATATAGTGAAATTCACTTTACTATTCTTGTAGAATTTGAATGCAGACAATAGAAGTATATAGGGTGAAAATAATGTATAGTAAAGAAGGTCAAGTTCTTTTATTATCCACTATTTTTGTATATACGTTACTACTATTATAATTCATATAAATATCCTTGAATATTAAAAATTACCTATTTTGCATAAACACAGGCACTTTTTTTTAGATTTACATTGTTTTATATTTGTGCAATTAGTTTAAAATGATATTTTACGGTAAAATTATAATTTTCATTTTTGAAATTGTTGTACTATTTGTTCCCGCTACTTGAGGTTAATTTCATTTTTTCGTGTATTTCCGGTGATTATATTTAATTTGACCTTAGGTACAGTAACGTTAATCGGAAAGAAGTTTAATATAATTATTTTCTTAATTATAGTTTCATTGCATTGCAGTTTTGTTTTTCTATATGGAATATATTTCTTTTTTCAAATTTCGAGGTTATATTATTTAAAAATTTTTGAAGAATAATTGTATTCTGCAAAAAATTTATTTATAGTTTTTCTAAAAACTAATGACAAATTTATTAAAGAATCTAAATCATACTCTATTCAGGTTTCTTGAATAAACAGTAAAATTCTGCCGAATAGAGTGCTACACTATGACATTTTATATAATGCAAACAACTCAAAAATGAAGTCGAGCATAAAAGAGAGTTCGAACGCAAAAGAGAATTCGAAATGAATAATATAACAAGCGTTTATTTCTCGATGTCAATTAAAAATATGCTGTATATGTTGCCTTCGAGAAAATTTTCTGGTAATTAAAATTTCTTCAATTTCAACTATTACAGCTTAAGAGCATATTTGCAAGTCTTCCAATCAATTAAAAGAACTACTTTTTCTGTAACCATTTTTATTTAGTTGATATGAAATGTATGTTCTCCTCTTTTATTCTTTAAAACATAATATATACATACATTTCATAAATATATACATATACATTTTCTGTTTCATTTATATTTATGCAAAGAAGTATGCATAATACATTTTATATCCGACCGACCATTTATATTGTATATTATTTACATATGTATATGTAACTTTATGAAATTTATTAGTCATGAATATTCATGTATAGGATGGTAATAAATAAAATTTAAAATTTAATTTATAACTATAGGAAACCTTTTCTAATGGATAGAAATATATAATTATCATAATGTGTATGTATATGTATTCAAATTTATGTGTGTGTATATTTAGCATTTCTTTAATAATTAATTGTTACATAAAATGTTTGTACTTATCTCCGTAATGTCATATCGAATATTAATGGGAAACACATAAAAGGAAGGATATTTAACCATATACGTTAATTTATACGAAAAACCGTTTCATATTTGTAACGGATTTTTATACTGGAATTGCTATTAATAACAAAATAAAAATAATCATCAAATGCACTTAAAAATAATTTAGGGAAAGGCGCTTAGTGTTTTTCAATCGGTTTTAGCGATTTATAATTTGGTGAAAAACAGAATCAAAGCGATGAACCGCAACGGCGGACGTTTTCAAAGACCAACAGTGGAACGGCAGTTGTTCAGTTATTTTGCATATAATGTCACACAAACATTGGAACAGATGATATCAGAAAGAACCGCCGGCAGTAAAATATAGTTTTAGACTACTTTATCGCCACCGGTCAAATTCGCGGCGGTAATATTGCTTTATTCTGGCCAGTCCCATTTTTATGCATATGTGTATTTTATATGAGTTTTGACATTTCGTCACTAAGAGTCGCTCTTCTTTCGTTTTCATCTTCACTGATTTGTGCTTCAAACTGTTGGAAAAAGTGCGGCTTTTATTTTTGGCGTTTGGCATTTTATATTTGACGTTTGATATTTGACATTTTACATTTGACATTTGCATGTGCATTTGATATCTGATTTAGTTTAGTTAATTGCTCTTGCGTCACCAATAAATAAATTTAAGCGCTACAATAGCACCTCGGTGTACTAAATACTATTATTTAGTACACCGAGGTACTAATATTTTTTTAGCAATTTTTCAAAGATTAATTACAGAAGCAGCATTAAATATGTAACGTATGTATTGTACGATGTATATGTGGTTTGTTGCAATACAATTCGTTATTACTCTTGTAATTGTAAATTGTAATAATTTATTTATATCTATTTCTGCGGTTTTAGAAATCGAATGTAATTTATGTCCTCTTAAAATATACATACATATACGTATATAGTTTTAATAACATGCAGCAATATGCTTAAAGAATTAAAAGAGGCGAAAATATGCGAGGTAGAATTCTCGTAAAGATGAGATGAAAGGTCACAATTTATTATAGCAGTATAATTATTAGAAAATTACAATAGACAACAAATACTTTGTGAAGGTTAAGAAATTCAGAACAAAAAATTAAAATATTCTTTAAAAAATTGCTTAAATCGCTACTAGCAATACTCAATTTATGTATTTGAGAAGCAAGATAATTTTCTTGAATGAGTAAATCAATATTTCTAATAACATTACTGATAACATTAGTTCATTTAAAATGCACGTACATTTATTCACCTTTTATTTTATAATATAGGGCTCTTACTGTGACAAAAAAAAAGTTTTTGCAAGTATACAGAATCTTTAATCAATAGGAAATTTATAAATTGAATTTGTTTCGGTACACATTTCCCATGCACGTATTGTAATAAAACAAATATATTAAGTGAATGGATATGCTAAATTTGTATTCAATTAGATATGCATTCGGGAATATACATGTCATGTCGATAGATGAGCGATCGACATGAAGAGTTTTACTCATAAGAAGAAACAATTTTACTTACACATACACTTTAAAATAATAAGCATTCAGTTGGGTAGTCACACCCCAACTAACATACTTACTTCTGGAGGCTTTCGACCATAATTTTGGAAGCAATATTTTATTTCTCCAATTCATGAAAATGGTTCAAAAAACAATTTGAAAAATGCTATAAAAATTTTGAAAACTCATTATTCATTGCCTGAATGATGACATTGATTTGCGTACGACATTGATTTAAACTGGCATAACGAAGTATAATTAGATCTATTAATTCTTCAAGATAAAAAATGCAGATATTGAATCTAATAAAATCAAGACAATCCTAGCCTCTAGTTTAAATACCTGTGCTCGGCTGAATATGTCCCTGATGATTTTAAGACGTTTGTGCAGCCGAACTATAGAAGTATTCAATGAGACATTGTCATTTTACCATTCGAGGCCTTGTTTACACTCCATATAAATTCCCTGATTTATGTATATAGCACATTTCATTTAAATTTGTAAAACTAAAATAAATTTTAATTTGAAAATTTTATCTAAATTAAAATTTTTTCTTCATTTTCATTTTAGATTCAAACAATCCAAATGGCCGATTTCCAAAATTTAAGACTACAACTTCAATCATCATAACTTCGTGAATTATTGTAAAATATATTTTTGACATTTAAAATTCTATTTAAAATATTATATGTAAAATTTTTAGAAATAATAGAAATAAATTCTAAACATACCATATTTACAAAAGAAAAATAGGGAAAAATTTACATAAATACAAACATACTTATAAGTACATCAGAAGAATAAGATCTGCAGTAGTTTTTTTTTTCGTTTTTAACTATGATGGTAGATAAAGCTGTTTCTACAAACGATAATAATTTTAATGAATTTAGTAGGGCATACAAATACGATGCTGTTATTTCAACTTTAATTGAAAATAAAATTTTGTCGATAAAAAAAGAATGTAAAGAGAATTCTTCATCAAAACGCAAAAGAAGAAAATCATTGCGTAAAATATCTTTTTCAAGAAAGTTTTTTGTTAGTTGTCGATCTAAGAGATCATCATTAGGTAGTGGTATTAGTAATATTAATGATGGTAACACAATTAATGGTAGATCAATAGTCACATCACATAATCTTGATGACGACATAGTTGATAAACATCAGAAGAAAACTGATTTAAATGTTTTTGATGATGGTACTGTAAATGGCACACCTGTAAGTCCAACAATTTCCAAAATCGATGTGATTGATTTAACCAGTAAAAATATAGATTATGATCATCGCAATGATACTGTACTAGTAGGTAAAGCTTTTCTAAAAAGTAGAAGCAGTAGTCATGATGAAACTGATTATAATACATTGTCACAAAATGAACAATCAACATCCAAAATATTATTATTAAAAGATGCATCAACCTCTTCCTCAGCTGCATTTCAGTGTCAAGAAAATAATCAACAAAGTCACCCTCAAATTCGTCAACAACAAGGTCGTCACAATCAATTATCTTTATCATCTTCAACATCATCATCTGTATCAACTCATGGACGTTATGATGGTAATATTCTGATTCGAGTTATTGATAAAAAAAAATTAAAACATGGTATTGGAGATGATGGCAGTGGTAGTGACATTGGTGATATTAGTTCAAATGAAAGTATAGATATTTCAGGTGCAATTGTTTCGTCAACTAGTAGTAAAAATTTTAAAGAAAAAGATAAAAATAAATATTATTTAAATGCAACAAAAAAACGTCTAATATCCGAAGGCCTAGTAGCTTCAATTAAGCATAGTTTTCATAGTTTAGCACTATATAATCAATACAATAATAAATCGCTTACAGATGTTGAAAATAATTTTTTATATGAAGCTAAATCAATAAGTGCCCCGACAAGTCCAACAATACTATTTTCACAAAATACTAGTAAACCGCAAACTACAATCATAAGTAGTGAAAATGTTAAAAGCCAAGTGTCTTACATACGTAACAGCATCCGTTGTCCTAATAGTTATAATAATAACAATATAGCGCAAACTAATACAAATATTAATCCAAAAATTAATAGAAAAATATTAAAAAGTTCGCTTAGTGAGATATTTTCAAGACAAAATACATCTGAAGATAGTGCCAATATAACAATTAGTACAGTTCTTAATGAAAGTGAAATAGGAAATACAATAGAAACTATAGGAACAGCAGCAACTAGTAATATTAATAATATTATTAAAGATAAACCATTTCATCGAATTGATAATGTTACTGCAAATACTGTACCTATAAATAATATGGATTTCAATTCTATTGTTACGGATTCAAATGAAGAACCAAAAAGTTCAAATCAAAATGTAGAAAACCGATTAGATAGTGTTATTCCCGTAACAGTAAATGATGCAAAATTTCAAAAATTTAATATTAATAATTCGTTAATGCAACAAAACGAAAATAGAAAACAATCTAATTTAAATAGTGAAACTGTGATCATTGATAAAAAATCATCAAATGAAAAAATGCCTGTTAAAGGTATACCTAAAGTTTCGGGTATAGCAGCAACATCGTTAAGCGATACTTATGTTGATAATGTCAGATTGGAGAATGATAAATTTATGGCATCATCAATCGGAAAAACAACAACAGCAGCAATTATTGAAAAATTCAAAAAATCTGATGAATTATTTCAAAATTTATTAGAAAATCAAAATGTTTCAAATGTTAGCTCAATATTACCATCATCAATGACTGGTTCAAATTTTTTGTCAATTAATGGTAGTTATACAAGTCAAACGATAAAAACTCAATCAACAACAACAGGAATAAAGCTTTTCGATAGAAATGCTTTCTTGCCATCTAGAATGATGAATGGAAGATATTTACATACTGGTAGCGATGACGAATACCGGCGGAATAAAAGAAAATATAGTAAGTTAAAAGATTATTATATGGCTAGTTTATAATTCTGTAAAATTTTATTAAAACTCAAAACTTTGAACTTAATTAACTTATAGCATCAAATTTTAAAATTTTTGTCTACAAAAACAATTAAAAATTTTGACTTACTTACATAAATGCCTGTGAAATAAAATTACGCAAGTTGTTTCTGCAACTGATCTGCACGTTTTATTGCAAAATTTTTATCTTTAATTTATTTTTAATTCAAATATTAAAATAAACGTGTATAAAATTACATAATGAAGATTTCCTTGAACAAAACAAAAATTGTAATAATTCCTTTATTATTTTCTATTATTTCTTCAAGGATGAAATGTACGTAAACAATAAAAAAATTTTTAAAAATGGGAGACTGTTTAAATTATGTTTTTGATTTTTAAAAATCTAAACAAATTTAATAAAGCTTCCGCAGTAGGTGTACATACAAAAACAACTGCATACCAAATTCTTTCCTTCTTCGGTTCTATACCTATATTGTACACATAGATAATTAAACAATAGCCAATGAAGATTTATTAAACAATAAAATATAAAAAAACCTTAAGTACTTTAAGTTCGTTAAATGTAGCACAAATTACACTTTATATAGCATACAAATTATGTAGTGCTGCCCACCTAGTAAGAATTAGTAAATAAAATTATAAATGAGTATACATATAAGACTTGATTAATTGAACTGTTAAAATATTAGTTCTAAATATAGTTTGCTAATTTTTGAGATGGGTGGCACAGATGTGAATCAAAACCTGAATCTGTTTCATGAGCCAAAGCAGATGGCAGTAAAGTTGCCCATAATAAATATAGAAAAATTCAAAGGAGATTACACAAAATGACCTTAATTTTACTTGTAATCAGTCTCCAGTAGATTTCAAAAATTCTTAAGCTCCAGTTCAGAAAATACTATATTTAAAACAACATCTTGTTGGCGAGTCAGAGGTATTATTGAGGCTATTTCGAGCTACGGGTAGTAAATATGCGGCAGCCTGATGTGCACTAGGAAACATATATGACAATAAAAGAATCTTAGCTGATCAGGAATCATCTATTCCATGTCTGGTATAATATATCTTCTCTTAGTGTAGACAAAGCTAAATTTTCATTTAAAGCATGTCATGCAAAATTTTGATTTGATTTGCAGTAATTTATGATGTATGTAATGCGGTTGACAATATGAACATTAAAAAAAGTTGAAATACAAGCTTGAACAGTGGTACAGTGGTTGTGAAATCGGTCCTTTAATTGAAGCGTCTCGGGTTCAAAGTCCAGTCAGGTCACTATAAAAATCAATATTATTTAGCTTGATACATACACATTGCACATGAAATGGAAAATTAAAATTAAACTACCACATTTTCATAATATTCGATATTAAGCACCAGCAAAATAAATATCAATAACTTTACATAATGAATATAAAAAAAACTACGGCAGGTTAGTCTGGTTAAAAACTCAATCACGCCAGAAACTGGAGCATGGCTCTCTACGAAACTATACACCAGGCCTATGCTCCTTCTAAGGAGTAAGTAGGAGAAAAAAATGTCAAATAATTTGTAATTCTAATGCTTTCATACGGGAATGTATACTAGGAATTATTATTAAAAATTAGCGCTTATGATAGGGTGCAGCTCAACGCAAAAATTCATCTACATATATAATAATCTCTAATAGATATAAAATTAATCTAAAACATAAGCTCTAACATAAATTTGTACTCAACTTATTACAGTCTTATTGATTTTTAAACATTTTTTTTTAAACTCACAGCATATCTTTTACTCAATCCCAAGTCATTTTTTACATAAATTATAAAGTCATTTCATACTATGCTACATATATATACATTCCCCTTTTGTGCTTCCTAGTTTTCGTTAAGGAATTATTAACTAATTAAAAAAATAATGAAATAAATAACATTTGTGGATATGGCCATTTTAATTATAAAATAGTGGGACTAATATAGTAATAAAGGTGACCTATGATATTAATTATAGTGTACCTATGTAAGTAATTTAAAAAAAGATAAAATTTGTGTTAATTGGAGGGACAAATATCGTAATTTGACCCTTTTTTTGGTTAAAATTCTAAATTTCTTTATTTACTACTTTTATATCTATTTATTTTAAAATTTTTGGTAAATGTTTTTGTGAGGCAAAAACTGTTTGTTTCTGTGTAAATATATACATACATAAACATACGTGTATGGAACCAGTCACCTTTTATAAATTTTTTATTGAAGTATCATTAGAATTTTTGCAAATTTATATGTTCAAATAGTATTTGTGTGAAATTAAAATGTATATTTGGTTTTATTTCCCGGTTCACCTTGTTTGGGGGTATAAGATTTTGACACAGTCTATTACATTATATAGTTTTGTCTAAGTCTTGAAGTTGTCGAACATATCTTATCTAAATTTTTTTTGCAATTTGTGGGCTTTTTAAAATATCGCCAAACCAGCAGCATATTCCTCCCATGCTTATAATGGCACAGGTTGTACACTTGTAACCTCTCACCGTACTACATTAGAGCTATTATTCTTCTTGGCTAGTAGACCATCCATGTCTGAATATTTTGCTCATATCCTTCCGAAAGTTGCTCTCAGTATAGTTTTTTCCACCTTTACAATAGCCTGTATTTTCTTTACGACTTATGTATATAACATTAACAGTTTCTCTACTTGCGGCGGTCTCGTATGTTTCTACCATTTTCCATTTTTTGAAGTATTCTTTTTAACTCTTTTCTCGTATCTGATTTTTAATAAATATTGAGCATCAAATTTTCGCAAAAACTTCTGCATTTTATGACCTTATCTTAAGAAAATTTATTATTTCCTTCAGTTTACGTGTATTTTATCTTAAATGTTGATTAGCAAGCAATTAAAACTTTATTTGAATATTTTGTCACCAGGATACTGTGTAGGGTTAAAATACGTATTAAAGACAAAAATCGATAATAAAGCAATAAATGAATTATTTCCTCCACCTGCTTTCATCAGAAAAATACTTGTATAAGAAATAATTTTTTTTTTCAAAAGCGTTAAATTCGTTTTGGAACGGGGATCCGTCAAAATATGAAAATTTCAGTCTCATTTTGTTTTTGTCTTCTATGTCTTCAACCGAATTTCCTATTAATAAAATAATTTTTTATTTACTTAAAATTTGAAATATTTTGTAGACAAGATTTTTCATCCAATCATAATAATGTCTAGTCTAATAATGTTTAAAAACGTGTAATGAATAAGTTAAAGAGGAATAAAGTTCACTGAATTGTTGCTTAATAGCAGAAATAAATTTCACATGTGTGTATAATATTTACGTTGCTTTTGTATATATACATAAAAAGGCATATATAACAGTAGTGTTGATCTGAAAATTCATTTAGTAGTTTGAGTACCTAATAAATAGGGTGAAATAATAAATAGGAGTACCTAATAAATTATATTTTGGCAAATAAAATTTTGATTGACAGAATTTGCAAATAAAATTGATTGATTAAAAGAGCCGTATACACATTTATTTTGTCTCCCCTTGTCAATATTTTCAAGGTTCAGATTCTATTAACATTTCATAAATTTTTCGGGTTCAACAAATATAGATATCCTAGGATATATTCCAAACTTAAATTCACGTTATGCTTAAAGCAGACAATGTTTACAACTATATTCTACAACCAATCCATTTCTGAACAGGCTCTTCAGACAACACGTCGATTTCATTCGACTTGAAAATCTTAAAATTTTTATGATTTACGTGTAACAAAATTAGATAAATCATAAGTTGTACAATGTACATTAATACACCTAACTTTACTTTACTTGCACACCGTCCTGTGCTACATCATATTATTAAAATGACATTAGGGTAAAGTGTTATTAAAATGACATTAGTGTTAAGCGTATTCTTAGTTTAATAAGGTTAAATTATTCAATAAAAAATAGATTTGCAATAATTAATTTTTATATTTTATTTTTTTATTTTAGAAAGATATCACCGTTGTTCAGATCCGGTTTTGGTTTATCCATCAACAAGTGGTTTGCAGCATTGTATTTTAAGCATGCCCCCGAATCAAATTCAGTAAGCTAAGAAAAAAAAATGAATTTTTAAAATATTTGAATTAAAACCAAAATACATTAATATTTTTTGTTTTAGTCAAATCAATTGCAATGAAGATTTGGTATACGATTTAACGTATCAAGCGGACCAAAATGCAAATGATGATAAAGCATCTATAATGCCTGAACCCATTAAGAAATCAAGGTATAAAGGAACTTTACAATAATTTACAACTTATATTCATTAAGACTTTGATATCACGTCCTTTTAAGGGGCAAAGTTGACGGATTTTCAAATCTAGATTTGATGTGTTAGTTTTCGGTTCTTCAAAATAAAAATGAATAAAGAAAATTGGAAAATTATGTAGCAAAAATATGTAGTTCCAAAGCGAAAAATCAATTTTAACTCTTTGAAGAATTTTCGTTTACTATTTTTGACGGTTGTGGTTCTTAAATTCTAATTAAATTATTTTTGATTGAGTTATTTGAAAACTAGCCGAATAGAATCTCAAGACTTGAAATGATGAATGAATTGAATAAATTTTGAGAAAATCCTGGTTCAGGAATTGAGCCCTTGCTACATAACACTTACATATTTTATTTATAAGTGAAGCTTTACATAAGTGTACTTACAATCCAAATGAAAAATGTTCTTCAAATCTTTTACTGTAACTTTTGCCGTTGCGATATTTGCGCCGTAAATTTTTCCCAAATAAAATCAACTCTTAAAACATAAAACATTTTCTTAACTTTATTCAGCTCTTAAATAAGACTAGCTCAAGCGTAGAACTACTTAATATGACATGTGAATTTTGTTGTCATTTTAAAATTTTTTATCTTAATTTGATCTTACATGACACTTACCAAATACATATTGTCGGTGAATGCTTTTAAACAGGTATTGAACAAATATAAATATTCTAAAATTTAGTGGCTCTCTTCTTATTAGATTTGCGGCATCAAAGTTAGTGTACCTCTTTTTTATGCATTCATTTGCTGTCGAGCATTAGAGAGTAAAGCTCAGTTTTTAGACACTTTTTCAAAAAATTTTGCAAAAAATGCTCATTGGTTTCACTCTGTCAATACGTCCGTCCGTGGGAATGCTTCCAAAACTTTTACACCCTTGAAGATAGAAAGCTAAATTTACATAGACCCTAAAAATGCCTAAAAATACCATTTTCGAAGTAATTATTGTAGCAAAACCAGAAACAGTTTTAAAATTCTGCAAACGGGGAAAAGTAGAGGCTGTCTTCTTCTACAACGGCGTATTATGTTTGAACTTTATAAAACAAAATGTCAGTTAAAATTTACCGTTATCTAAAATTGGTTTTTTACAAATTTTTGATATCGTTTTTTACCTAGGCCATTTACCTAGGTTTTCACGGGTCTGAAATTTTAATAGCTCTGAGATATTCATAAATAGTTCATTTTGTTAGAAGAAAAATCCTCAAAATTTTTGAGGATTTTGAGAAGGAGGAAAATTTTTTTCCTCCTCAACCCCCTCTCAAGTTATCGCCCCTTGAAATTTGTGAAATTTGACTTTTTAGTACATATAAATATAATATTTCCAAAACTATTCCTGGAGTATTATATTTGCCAAATTCCAATTTTATTTAGTATTATATTCCCAAAACTGCAAGCTTTTCCAAATTTCATAAATACTGGAAGCTAGTCATACCATTAAAAAATATAATTATTTTTCTTAACTTTAAAAATTAACCCTTAAATTCGAGCATTATGTTGAAACCTATTAAAATTTTTTTGCAGTATATGAATGAAATTAATTTAAATAACGTAAAAGTTAAATTGTTTTTAACTATAAATCTCATTAGGTGGATTGTGCTTTCTTTCATATCCAAATAGGTATTGTAATTTTCTTGCATATACAAATTTCGATAATTTTAATATTTCCAACGAAACTTGTTGGAACATTGCCAACTAATTGTTGAATTCAACACAAATATATTCATAAGTTTGTTCACTTTTTAAATTTTTTTAAAAGAACCCAAATTTTTATAATAATTTTGTTTTAACTATTAGGAGTGGGGGGTTACTGGAATAATGCAATTGAGAATGGAATGTTTACCTATACGATCCATTCTCTTAAATTTCTCATTCAGTAACTGAAGTTCAATAAGAAATAAAAATAATGATTGAAAGTAAGGGTTCTAGTGTCACTTTTGTTTGCTTTTTTGAATATTTGAAAAACTTTAAACAGTACTTTGAATTGTTAACTCAAGGTGCATTTGATGAATAAATATGTTGAAAAATGAGTAACCCAATAAGCTCTTGAAAAGTTCTGGCTATATTTTTGTAACAGTTTTTGAAGAATTATTTAATAAATTTGTGTTTTACGTTTATTAAGCGTATTGTAGTACTTATGATCCTAATGTTATACAACGTCTAAAATTGACCGTATGCGGAACAATTAAAGTATACATTCTATACGAAGTTTTTACCGACTTTCCTAGAATATATTTATAAGAACATTTTGCCTGTTTATAGCTTTTTTAAACACCTTATTAATAATTTTTTGTATTAATTACGTATAATGACATTTTAATTTAACAGCTGTAATTTAGTTTTGTGGTTGCATAAGAACCTATAAATATATGCAAAATCAATATTAGCATTTATGTTTTCTTTCGGAGGAATTTTATTCTTAAATGAAATTTTGACGATTACTATTGCTCAGTTGTTAAAAATTATTCTTTTGAAGTTTCTAAATATACAGTTATGGGGCGGTTTAGGAAACTTTAATTCAGTATTACCGAGTTTAGCTGATTGTTTTTAGGATGATCTAGCAAGCTTGTCAAGCTATTGTATTCCATACTGCTACATTTGCCAGTATGCTTAATTCTTTATTTAAAAGGTATGCCACCGCGGATACTTCTCTTAATTTTCTTAATGGAATATGACATGTGGGCTAATGACTTCCGAAGCATTCGCATGCGTCTCTTTCAGGAACAACAGAAAGTTTAGTAGATTTTTTAGTTTTTTGTCATTTTTTATCACATAATTAACAGATTTGTGTAAACTACCGACACACTTCGCACGACAAATTTGAACTCTGGCAGAGACTAGATAAGTAGCAGTTTTATTATTAACATTTGCAGTTTTGAAATTTGTCAATTTAAATAATCAGCTATAATTTGTAAATTATAATTAATTATAGTCAAAAAAATGTACTTCATATATACGACAACACTGCATGTATTTGATCTGGGAATTTTGTTTCGATTGTAGTATATTCTGATTATGTTTATTGTGGTTTGAAACCACACCATTTCTACATTGCGTTGTGTTAGTTGTAAGATTTCGGTGACGTAGCTGTAAAAATTGTTTCATATAAACACTATGTTGCTATTGCTGTTTTAAGTTGCATATGTATTGGTAAATATTTTACTTCATATTTTATATTTCCGTTCAATAATATAATTAATTAATTTCCCCACACAAACTGATGTCATAAGTTTAATTTTTGTTGTTTTTGATGTGCTTATGAGTTAAAATTCGTTTTTAATGTGCTTATGAGTTAAACACAACTCAATGATGAAAAGGCCATTCGCTTCAGAATTTTTATATTCAGAATGTGTTCGTATTATAGACACGAAAATAAGAATTCTTCTATATTGTTATTATATTACTATTTAAATTAATTAAATATTATGATAAGTTATAATTACATTTTTCTTATTATCTGTACCTGTTCGGTAATAGCGGAACATATGTTACTGTAAATGCGGCTAAGATTTTCTTATTTTAATAAAAATTTTAATTTCTTTTTCTTTAAATAAAATATATGACCACTTGTTAAAATAAATTTGCATTCTATGTTAATGAACTCAAACAGAATTTTTAATAACTTCTTGCTTATAAAAGTCAATGTCATTATTTCGTTCAGAAGGCAGTCGAACCTGAATTGTGAATCAGCTTAGTTAATAAAAAAATTAAAACAAATGATCAATTAATAATAATTACTATAAAATTAAGAATAGAACAATTAATATTTTAAATTTTAATGGGATTTTTATATCTTGCATTTTATAAATATTATTTGGCCAGACATCATAAACATAAGAAAAAGCATCGCCATAGACAGAAACCAAAAATTCTTGTTCATGATTTAGATACACAAAGTGTGAAGGTGAGAAAATATTATTAAATATTTGGAATAATTATTATAACCAAATTATTTATTTAATTATTAATATTAATAATTAGGTAATTGATCCAGATGATCTTCCACAACGGGCTAGATGGACAATAATAGCAACTGCATGTTTACTTTTATTAATGTGTTTAATGTTAGTTGGTATAACGCTTAGGATGGCTCCTATAATTGATGATATAGGTAATTTTTTATACATATATTGATTTTGTATAATTTTTTTAAAATTTATTATATTTTATTAAACTTATTGATGTTTTATACATAAAATGAAATATTAAAGGAAAAAGATATTATTCGTGTCAGAGAGGTACAAGTACTGGTGATTTTTTTAATTATTTTAAATATAATAATAAAATTTTAGAATTCTGAGTACAATAAAATATTAAAATCAATATTTGTACAACTGTTTACTTAGTTGTGAAATGTATAATTAAAAAAAATAATTATGAATTTAAAGAGAATTATGCGAAATCTCTTTACAGTGAATAAAATTGTCAGCAATTTTTGAAAGAATGATTGCCTACAATAATAATTAGGATTATTAATTTCAATAGTGTTAAAGAAATTACTAAGTTTTAAAAATTTTTCAACTAGAAACTTGCGTTTCTTCTCTAAAAATGTAAATGTATTTGACTTGCGTTGTGATGAACACACTCTCCCCCAACCAGAGCTCCTTACGGGCATTTATGAGAGATTTGAAGATGACTTAAGTTAATTTTATGGAAATTAATATGCAAAACCAATTCTGTCAATTAGTTGCCGCAATGAGTCTGTCAATTAGTTGCTACTCCAATGTCTTCATCCATATTCGTTGTGTTGATGATAATTTGCTTATGAAATCGAAATCTCATTGTCGAGAATGCTTTTGACACTAATTGAGTAATATCAAAATGATAGCGAACAACAACGAAGTTTTAATTATTCATTGCTATCGCATATTGTTAACTAACAAACAGGCAAATACTAACCCGAACAAAATAATTATCGTATTGAGACAAAACTGAATTAATGGTTTAAAAACTCTGATAATAGTCTTAAAATAGTTTGATGGATATTGTTCGGAAGAAAGTAATTAATTTACAATTTAGTAATTAAAGGATCATAAATAAATTTTAATTTGTCTCATATGGGCAATTGAAAGCAAACAATTAAATATCCACATGACTAAAGATAGAAGGATTTTTTGAAAAAAAAAACAAATTTTAATAACCATAGATTTAAGTTCAATGTACATATTTAATACAAACATAATTATTTTTACTCATGCATCCATCATACATACATAATTTTTTAAAAATGGGTGTACACTCATATTTGGTGGTAAGGTTAAATTAAATATAAATGTTATGAAAATTTATTGTTGTTTACATACACACATACTTTATGATTTTAATACTCGTAAGCAACCATAAACATATGTGCCATATTGACAAAAAATATAATTTTGAGAAAAAATAAATTTTTCATACAAGCTCTGATGGATTAATAAATTTTATAAGAACTACTATAGATGAAGGAAAATTTCAATTCTAAAAATGTAAAAAACTGGAAAGTCATTATGAGCTAAGACACAAATAAAAGCATCAACCCCGTTGAAAAACTAATTCAATCTGAAAATAAATAAAATCCGAATTAAATATTGAAGGAAATTTTTCTGAGTGTGCTTACATATTTTATTAAACGCTTTTGAAGTGTTCTTATTCGCAGTTAGAGGAATGATTTTAACAAAACTGATAAAATCCTTTTATTTCAATATATCGAGTTTCTATATTTAAACACTTACCATAATACTGACAAAAAGAAAAATCAACTGTTAGAAAGCTATTAAGATTATTTTTGTTTCAATACAGGAGGGCGAAAAAAAAAGGTTATCTTATAAAACCCAATCTAATTTTTTTACTTAAAATCTTATTATTTCTATTACCTTTTCTTCTTTAAATTTATCAAAAAGTCGCCAAATCATCCTCAATAAATCATTTTCACAATATTTAAGGTTATTTATCAGGTCAAATTTTCTTTCTACTTCATCATTCTGTTATACAATCGAACTATAAAAAAATATTTATGTACTTAAAAATAGCACCATTATTACATGGCAGAAACCGAAAAAAAAAGCATTTTCTAGTTAAACACACCAACCTTTCGTACAATGCCATATAAGAAATCGAAGAGATGCAAGGAGTGAATAAAAAGAAATAGGATAATTACCTTTTGTAAAAGACTCAAAATTTAGTAAAAAAATGTAAGGAAATGAAAAAAATAGTTTTGTTTTTTTCTCCCTGCATCTTCATTCGAGTGCTAGAGATGAAGAAACAAAAAAAAAAGAGAAACACAGAATAAAGACAAACAAAAAAAGACGCACTGGAATCATTACATTTACATAATGAGGAAAATATCAATTCAATTCTCTAACGAAAAGCAAAATTTTCCTCAAAGGATCATTTGTATTAATTTCGTTTTACTTAAATTTCTTAGGTTACTAAAATTTTTGTTGTACATTTTACGTTCAATTCTATTTTCATCAATTTTATGTACAAAAAAAAAATAATGCATTTGTTATATTAACATACATACATATATACATACATCACTACATTATGTAAATATTTATATATGTAAATGCATATGTGACAGATATTAATAATAAAAGAGAAAATGTTTAGAATATATTATAGTATACGTTTGCATACGTAGATGTCACGCTATATTTTATGATAAAATGTTGTGTGCACTAAATGTTATAAATTTGAAATAAGGAGAAAAAGAAAAGGGAAGCTGAGATGAGCAACACTTTTACTTTCAGCTTATTGTTAGAATAAGATAATTAGCAGAATCTGAAAAGAACTGTAAAGAAATAATAGCTGTAATTTTATGACAGCTATTCGAAGAACTTATCTAATAATAAACAAATTCTGCCGAAACAGTAACCCTACTACCAGACTCATTTATAAAACATTTTGCAATGAATCATACTGTGAGGCATAGAAATTTAAATATGACTGTTTTATATTTGGAATTGTATATTGTGGAACGAATAGTTTTATCAAATAACGGAGTAATAATTTTGTTGTACACTCCGAATATTCATTTGCACGGTAATAATTAATTAATTATAATAAGCTCAAAAAAATCAATTGTATTAAAAAAACGCATCTTTTTTTTTAAATACTGAAAATAAATTATGAAAATTATGAAATTCATTTCGACATTGAAATCTCCGAGGTCCCGCTTTTCCAAGTTCTTCAAAAAAAAAAAGCACTCCGAATTTTATGACATACACTTCAACAGTTTCATCACATTCGTTTGAATTTTTCCAAGAACATGTAGGTTAAGAATTACGATTTTCGTTGTTCAAATAGCTTTTCTAGCTGTAATTTGTCTAAAAATAAAAAATGTAAAAAAAAACTGAAATCTCTACCGGATTTTAAGAATTTTTTCCATTTTTCTAGTAGTACATATTTAGAGGGGAATATTTAAAAATTAACCCTACCCCATCGTATACTAAGATTTTTTATTTTCCCTGTACTTTAACAGTTCCTATTCACCTAAATATAAAAAAAATGGCATAAATATTTAAAATGAATTCAAAATTCCTTTGTAGAAAATTTTTACATGGCAAATTTCTCTTATGTAGTGTATGTATAACACAATGCTATTATGTAATGTATAACATTATATATTGTTATGTAACATAAATATTTCAGTATACCTATATACGGATATTGTGATTTCTTTCAATTTTATTAAAAAAAAAAATTATTCTTAAATGAAAAACATTTTTCATTTAATTTTTAACACAATATTATTTTTATTATTTGTGAATTTAACATCAAAAATAGAAACCAACAAGTAGAAATAAAATAAAAATAAATTAAAATAAAATGCAAATATGAAAATGGGATTTAAATGTTTTTTGTTTTTGTTTTGCGATTTTTAATTGAAAAAGTTTTCAAAAAAGTTTCTCTGTTAATTTTTATATTTAAATAAATAATTTGAATACAATTGAAATGTGTTAATTTTTTAACGTCACGTTTACGTCTGTTATTCCTTTTGTGAAATCATTTTGAATTTTATGGGGGCATTTAAAAATTTTTGTTAAGAAGGATTGTAATATTAAAAAGACTCGCCCTTTAAACTTGGTGTTCTCATTTTCTTAAAAGTAAAAATAAATTTTCGTTTATAATACTTTATACGTACTAATAATGTTTTTGATTGTCATTGTAAAAAGTTGGGTCGGACTTTTAGTTAACAGGAAGGCGAATTCAAAGCTGCCATGTACAACTAGGTTAGAAGGGGTCCAATCCATAGCAAACACATTTTTTCTCGTTAGAACTATCCAACCTCGTTGGATCACTCATAGCGTATACAATCTTATGTAACAAATACCCGATAAAATGCAAAACTGCAGAATTGAGAACTCTCCAGCTAAGTGGCAGCACAGCTTGCGTTCGTGTTTCGACTCTTTTTGAACAAAAAGTAAATTTCTTCTTTAATTTGCTTCTCAATTTTTTTAATGATCCAGAACATAGAACAATTTATCTCCGTGATTCCAGCGTTCCACCCTAATTCAACGAGTTTGTTAGCCCTCTTATTTTCCCCAAAGTAATTGCATTATACCCATACTTAACTTATAAGATTATTGCCCTCTGTCAGTATTAATATCAATTAATTAAAACGATTTAAGCGTGCAACACATACTATTAAATTTCATATTCTTTTAATTTGAAAATGCTTGTGATTTCAACAAAATAACAAACGTAAATATTTTATTGTCTCTTGTGCTAGAGCAATTAATTTAAAAATTTAGTTATTGTATTAATATAGAAAAAATAAATAAATAAAATAAATCCCTATAAATATGCAATCTAATATATTTTTCTCTTCTTTCAGTTGAAAAAATTTAATTTAAAAATAATAAAGTTTTACTGTCACTCTCCACTCTTTAAAATTCAAAGAGATTTAATAATTTTATTTATTTTTCTCTATTTTGAATTTTTCCCATTTATTTCCCTTAGATTTCAATAAAAAACTTTTTATAATCGTAATTTTTTGCTCTTTGTTATCCTATTCTATTAATCTTTTGTTACTCAGAAATTTTGAATTTTTTCACTGTGATTTTTATACATAAACTATATTTGTATAACAAAATCTATATTTTTAGAAAATTAAAAAAATTAACA